ACTGTTTCTCAATTTGTCAGCTAAATTTGAGGAAAGCGATATATATAAGAGGCTTCGAGTCGATAAGCGTTTACCAGGGAAGACAAACATGGCAGTTTTCTTATGGTTTGCCGGTCATGAGGCATGCAGCTTTCGTGACTTATCCGACCGTTTTAATATATCACTGTCGACTGTTTCTCGTATGGTCAATAGAACGACAATGTTCATTAGCAGTTTGAGTCCAGAGGTTATACGATGGCCTACTGAGGAGAAGAAGCGAGATTCGGCACTTTTTTTACCAGAAAATGCGGCTTTGCAAAAGCAATCGGTAAGTGGTAAAAACTATAATTGTGCCCTTAATTTTCAAAGTGGTCTAGGTCACTTCACATCTTATGCTTATAAATATATGCTTAAATATATAAACATATTCTAAAATATAGGATGCATTGATGGCACGCATATCGTCATTGATCCTCCAGCTGTGCGGAAAGATGACTACATTGACCGGAAAGGCAACATTACCCTTACTATGCAGGCCATTTGCGATGAAAATAAAAAGTTCATCAACATATTCGTTGGATTTCCCGGATCAAGTCACGATAGTTGGGTTTTTCAGAACTCGCCTATTTACCAAAAATTGTCATCGTATTGTGGAGGTAATAAATTTGTTAAAGTAATTTAATTTTTTAGTGGCATATACATATATAACGTAATATACCCTATTGTTTTTAATCTTACAGATTACTACTTACTAGGAGACTCTGCTTACCCGTGCACTCAGTACGTAATCACGCCATATAAGGATAATGGTCACTTGACGGCCGCGCAGAAAAACTTCAATGTGAAGCTAAGCTCCGGTCGCGTTGCAATTGAGCACACATTCGGAATCCTGAAGCAGCGATTTAGGCAGTTGTACTATTGTAAGCTAAGGGGTAGTAGGAAGTTGTGCCACTTCATAAGGGCGTGTTGTGTTTTGCACAATATTGCGAACGAGAGCGATTTAGAATTTTCGCCAGAAGTTTTAATTGAAGGAAGAGCAGAAAATGAATGTGGTGAAACAGCCAGAGGAAACTCTGTCCGGGATGCCATTTGTATGGATTTGCCACCGAGGCAACAATCAAGAAGTATTCCTTAATTTTAACATTTAGATTAAGATTAAAATAAGATTAATATTAAGATTTAGTTTAAGATTTAGTATAAGATTAAGATTAAGATTAAAATTAAGTTTAAGTTAAGATTTAGTATAAGACTAAGATTAAGATTAAAATTAAGTTTAAGTTAAGATTTAGTTATTTAGTATAAGACTAAGATTAGGATTTAGCTTAAGATTAAGATTAAGTTTTATTATTAAGATTTAGTTTAATATTAGGATTAAGTATATTTAAGATTGATCATTAAAAAATGAATTTAATAAATTAATGGTCGAAATTTGTCATAAAGATACTGTTATTATTTCACACATAGGTGCACGTATGTATGTATGTATTATGGATAAGGAACTTGCAATATTTGCCAGCTTTAACTAGGTCATAGATCGCCTTTGTAGAGGATAATAATAGGTCGTAGCCAAAAGCAAATTTCCAAAATTATAACTCGCTCTTTATTCAGTCTTTTATTCAAACTTTTATTCAGTCTTTAGTTCAAAATACAGTTTAGTAAAAAGGAACCTTAATGTTAAATGAAAGAAAATAAAGTTTGCTTGTAGCAAGCTATAGTAAGAATATTATAAATACACTAAGATTACCCAAGTGCTGGAAAATTGGAAAGATTATAATGAAGTAATCTTCTCAACGCAGCTAATGGGCCAAGTTCAAGAGGCTCAGAATTCAGTGGATGCACAAGAGGTTCAAAATGCGTTGTATGAACAAGAGGCCCAAAATCCAGTAGAAGCAGTGGTAATGCAAAGTCCACAACGAAATGTGGAAACGCTTCCATCCGAAGAAAACTCAGGTTCGGCTGAGAAGCAGGCGTGGGTTGAAGCCCCAGTAAAGCTGATGCTTACGTTAACCGAGGAGCTACGGCCTAAAGTGGGGAAGAGCGCATCCGTTAAAAATAAAACTAAAATGTGGAAACTTATAACTGAGCGTATGGCAGAGCAAGGGTATATCTTCACAACAGCGCAGATTGAAAATAAATTTCGAACAATGGAGGGCAATTTTAAGAAGACGAATCTGCACAACAAACAAACAGGCAGAAATAGGCTGACGTGTCCATACCAGAAGTAAGCAATTATAAATTTACTATTTTTTATGTACATAATTTAAATGTTTTTTAGTGAATTGGAGAAAGTGCTTGGCGAGCAAAGAGGTATTTCCGATTTTCCAGCACTTGGGTGGCTAACTGTTGCCGGTAAACTTCATCTGGAAAAAGTGCATGCATGTACGTAAAGCCATAATTTGTGTTACTTTCTATAAAAAAAACTTACCATTTTGGATGCGCGAGAAAGTTCCTGGCGAACAAGTCACATTAAGCTGCGAATTATTCATTTTTAGTTAAAATTATACAGCTGAACAACGATCCAAACAAAATGACATTTCTATTTGACATGAGCTTTGTTGTTGCCATTCTTCGGACTAAAAATTTGGTTTTTTGCGT